AGCACAAAAAGGAATTAAGACGCCCCCCGCCCCCCCCAAAGGTAGCTCTCAGCTGTGCCTCAGCACTGTCCCTGTTGCTTAGCAACATCTCACATCTCCATCTGAGAAAGGATGACTTCAGGAGGGGACACATGGAGGAGGTGTCTTCAGCAGACTGTCTCTCAGGAGCCCGATTCTACCAGACGCACATTTTCTTAGAACGGTAATATGATCACCACAGCAAGAGCTCCCCGTGGGCCCCTCTACAGCCAAACAGAGAATCTGAGAGACACACTGCTGAGCCCAGACTATGAAAAGGTGGCGGGGAGCGGGGAAGCCATTGCCCGTGGTCTTACCACTGATCCACTTGGCCTCAGGGTCATGAATTTTGAAATCTTCACTGAAAAGATCTTCCACAGTGACCTTCTTCTTTTGAGACAGACTATTATCTTCCGCTAGAAAAAAAAAATGAGGCAAATAGTTAAACTTTTTTTTTAATTGGCAAAAGGAGAGGACCATAAAACATTCTGATTGACATTCAGAAATAGTATATATGGTAAAACATAAAATTTCTATAAATGAATGGTGAACAAAAGCCAGTCTTTTTGTTTTTAATTAAACTATCAAAACTATGGTAAGAAAATCATGATTAAGTAAAATGTCATATCCCCCCCCCCCACACACACACAGCAACACATAAATGATCATATTTCTCAAGTATGGAGCTAAATAATTGTTTCAAGACCAATTTATGAACAATAAGGTGGGAATGGTCAAGAGAGGAAGGTACCAATGTCCAGAATGAATCTCAGCTGTATTATGTAATCAAGGTTTCGTTAAGCATCATTATATGCCATTAACTACAGGTAGCATGTTGGGACCTGGGAATTCAAAGACATATAAAATATAACTTAGGTATTTATTCTCCATAAGCTTCACCTGTCACTGGCTGTCTCTGGGTTGTGGGTTAGCTCTTGTTCAGACAGGATCACACCCAAATGTCCATATGCAAACTACCAGATTCTGCCCTACTCAACCTGGTGACCATGGTTAGGAGTAAGCACCTAGGAAAAGCCTATGAAGGAAGTAAGCTAATATCCATCCCAAGAAGAGATGTTTAGTTAACGGCACCAGTGGGTGAGACTTTAAAAATCCAACAGCTTTTATCTCACTTCCAGAGTCAAAGCTTCTGGGGTTTTGACTCTCCCTCAGAAGAAGCTCTCTCCATTAGAGGCACAAAAATCCATTTATCTATTTTGAGCAGACAAAGTGCTGCCTGGGTGTCTGACCCACGAGCCTAAGCTAGCAGATGAAATGCACAGTGGGCAGCCCATCACAGCACCCCACTCCTGTCGCACTAACAGGAAACCATCTTAGCCTGACGATTTCTGATGCATGTTGTCTGCCTGGGATGCTGATTTACTTCCAGTACCCTCAAGTGGAAATGCTGAATGTCACTGCACTTTTCCTGAAGACTCTGGTCCTCAATCGCCAGCTCCATGTGCGCTGCCGTGAGGGTATCTTGGTGCTAACTAAGGTGCGCAGGTCTGTGTGCATTCTAGTGAGGTGGCTCCAGAGCACGGTGTTTCTGCATTTTGACGTCTGGTTGCTGTGTCTGCTTCTCTCTTCAGTTTCTGGCAGTTGAGCCAGCATCCATTTCCTGACCTGTCATGTGCTTGCCCTCCACATGGCCTCTTTTAATTTTCTGTTTCAAAATCTGTGGCAGGTTGGAAAACCAGCAAGAAACTTTATTGGAATTACATAATGAAATAAGAATAAATAATCTCTGAATGAAATCTTCAAGCTTCTTCTAGGACATAGATTGTAAGATGTCACTTTCTCTCTCTCTCTTTTTTTTTTTGGCCTCTCTGCGTGTTATAGATTACTGAAGTCATCAGAAAAGCCATGTGTTCCTTTGTGCATTGATGGATTTCTTGAATATCAAATAGGATTAACGAGGGTAAGTCTTTTGAAAATTAAAGAATGTTGTGATTCAAGGTGACCCTATATTGTGAGACACATATGTGGAACTATCCCAGGTGATAAACACAACATGTTAAACCAAACCAAGTTCTTCCCTCTAGGAGTTTTCTGTCTGAAACTGAAGCAGCCCTGGAAAAAGACACACAGTTTCACACATGATGCATTTCCATACGGGAAACAGACACTACTTGAGAATTTTAAAGCTTACTAGACATTGATCTAATAAAGTTCAACTGTGATTTAGCAATTAAGAAGTATAAAAATTTTTGAGATACTCTTAAGTATATGGTCAGAAAATAAACATATTAGAACTTAAATTTTATCTGATTAAACTTCACTATTCAGGGATGATTCTAGTTGCATATTTTGAGGTGCCCATGTGTCTAATAAAAGAAGAATGTTAAGGCTGCCATTTAAACAAACTTTAGAAATCAAAGATGAGAAACTTACTCAGTTTCTGAAAATTTTTCTTTTCAAAATGTATTTTATGTTTAAAAACTTTTACTTTATTTGGCTTTTGATGATATTTTTCAAACATATAAGGCCTTCATGAGGGGACAGTTTGTGGAGGAGGTATCATGGTATATACTATTAAAAGTGCTCCGTTCAAGCTAGGAAAGTTGACTTTGTCCATCGCGAGCTCCACCTCTTTCAGAACTAGATGGCTCATTCACACATTCAACTACTATCTATCGAATTCGGTAGTTCATAGTTTGATTCAGTCCCAAACCATTGGAGGTGATGACAGGCATGAATAACTGCCACATGCCACAAACCATCTGAGCCATGAAGAATCAAAATTGGAAGACCTTATTCCTGACAGGAAGAAGCTCACAGAGAGTGGGAGCCAAAGTCAAATGAACAACCAGGACACAACAGCGACCGTGCTGAGAGCAGAGGGACCCTCTGTGCTAACAATGAAGGGGATCAGGGAATAAGCAAGTGGGAGGAATTCCAGGAAGACTCCCTGGAGGAAAGAACCTGCTAGTCGAGATAAAGGAGGTAAAAGAAACTTCAAGGTCGGAGGGACTGAGACTGCATGAACGTGTCGGTGGACGTTGTGTGTCTCAGGAAATTGTGGCTGGCGTTGGCACGGTGGACAGCGTGAGTGGGAAACAGCCAGAGATGAAGGTAGATTCCCTCATTCCACTGGAGAAACGTCCACTTGTGGATTTTCTTTTAAAATCCTGCTTATCCGTCAGTAGTATTTTCATGACCCTTTTCCACATCAGGAATATTACCAATAATGATCGTATTAACATTGCTTCTTCCCCACTCCGTTCCTCTATCCAGAATTCCGACTGAGCCTGTGCAGAAGCTCTTAGGTCCAACCCCCACATCCCCTGCATTTTCTTTCTGCCTTTTTATGTCTTTGGGAGGATTTGCATGATTCCTGTAGTTCAATCTTTCATTTTTCAATGTTTTCTTTAGCACATCTAGGCTGCTCTTTCATCCAGCTAATAAGTTTTAAAATTTTAAATAATTATATTTTAATTTC